ACAAGGCAGGAGTTTGGTTTTTGCCTGTGATATGTATAGGTTCTTGTATGAGTATGATATCTGGTCGATATTTGGTGCTTTTGATTGAGACTGAGAGAAAAGGCACCACAGTGAAATATGAAACAGCAGTCAAAAAACGCAGTGTTTTTTTTTGGATTATATTGCTGTTTTTGAAGACCAAAGAAATAGCTTCAAGTATGCAAATGTCTGATTTAGACTGACCATCCTTTTTGTCAAGTAAAAAAAACATTTCATCCAATTAAAAGCATGAGAAAAAAAGAATATTGCTATTATATTAATGACGGAAAAAACGCGGGTATATAAAAAAACAGGGTAAAAAAAACTGATGCATGCCTGGAAAAGAAAATCAAATTATGCAAATTCCTTTCCAAAAAGGAGTCAAGAAAGGTGTTGTGAATGAGACATCTGAATTTTTGCAATTTTGTTAAGCCATGTGCATTAATTGATACAATGTTCATTTTAATTTGTTGGTATGACATAGTTTATTCTTTTTGGGCATGTGGTGAGATGCTGGCGAGATAGTCTTTCATCTCTGTATCACCATCAGGGGGCAGATTTGTTCTAGCAGCTTCTTCATCCTCCTCTGTGAAAGGTGTTGTTGTGTAGTTAAGGATATCTCTGTAAACAGCTGATTTCGCTGTCTACCACAGAATTATTTGATTGGTCAAAAATTCCACCCTGAATATTTTGGATCAGGGTGACAAGTTGGTAAAACACATGTATTTTGTGATTCATTTGTATAACTTAGATTCGAACACCAACTTGGTCACTTGATCATAAATAGTGACAATTCACGAGTAGACGTCTGAGAGGGAAATGGAAAATACAGAAGTGATGAGTTCGAATAGTGAACACAGATCATAAGAGTCAACATAATCATTTATCTAGCAACAGTAAAACTGCCATGGATGCTCTTTTACCCCTCTGAAATGTCTACACCCCAGCAAACCTAACAAAAAAAATGACAATTTTGGCACAACTCCCCCCCCCCATTACCATCACAACCTGCTATCATTGCAGGGGATTTCAACACCATCCTTCATTGATATGACCACATCTCCTCCACATTATCATTATTATAGTAATAAATCTTGCAAACCCTGATAAACTGATTTTTTTTGGCAATAATCAATAGTTTAAGCCTCTAAGAGGGCTCAAACTTAAACTGGAGGTATGAATTACAGCAGGCCCAATTTCAATGAAAGTTGTGAAATTAACCTGGCCAATAAAAATCAACCCTTCCAAAACTGAACTTTCACAAAACTAGTAGAAAAAGATGATCAGTTTTCTGAGGGTTAATTTTAAAGATCTCATACTCTTTTGTCTGAAGTTCAAGATCTCTATTCTCTGATATTCTTCCTTCCTTACATTTAGTAATAGTAAGGAGTATAGTTAATGTTGACATTATATTAATATAATAATAATAGCAATAAATATGTACATAAGTGAGGCAAATATCAATAACAAATTGGGGGTCTGATATCAGTAAAATTTGCATATGGTAATAGAGACTTTTTTCCACAGATAATTATAGAATCTTCAAATTGATAAGGCTTTTTGAAGAAAACAAGCTACACAGCTGAGACTGTAACAGTAGACGTTTTAATGGTGTTCTTTAAACTAGCCCATGCATGTATTGCTATGTCATAAAAAGTTATGAAAACCATAAATTTAATTTTTAGCAATAAACTCATGTCAAGTAAATAGCAAAATTAGCTGCTTGTTATTATGTTTGTTTGCTTACTGATCAAGTGTACTGTTACATACAATAAATCCAACTGCACAATAATTTGACTTTCCAGTAATTTGATCATTGTAAGCAAGACCTGAATTTTATATAATTTTTTTCCTTTTATTTGATCGAATGTGAATGGGAAAAATTGCAAGTTAAATGAATTTGAGTGTAGACAAGTTATTGGCCTTTTTATAGAGGGAAGGACTCATGAAGCCATTGGCCATATTTTAAAAATTCCAAAAAGTACATCCAAAGAATTTTTATAACCTTGAAGAAGCTTTGCAAGAAGAATCTCATCTGAAACTTATGGTATATTAATTTAATTGAAAGTATGCCATGTCAGATTGAAGCATGTATTAAAAACCAAGGATGGCCAACTAAATATTAAATATTTATAATTTTTATTGATTGACTGGATACTTTGATAGTAATAGGGTAGTGTACGTCCATTAATTCAACAACTGTCAAATAATTTTTATTGACCGGTTGCATCGTTTTTGTGATAAAATTTCCCATCACATTAATATGTTATTTTCTCAAAAATTTTATTATTATGTTATGTTGTTTTTCTTTTCACTCCAAGGTTTCAGGTGTTATTCTTTACAAAAATATATATATTTCTAAAAGCCATTAGAACCCTTTTGCGCAACACAACCTTTTATTTTATGCTTATTAATAAAACATGTGTGGTATTTTTTTCCCATCATGTGACCTTTAATCTGCCAATCAGGGAACAGGAATTTCATTAATATTAATTAACATAAAGTTATTGTTTGACCAATGAATCAGGTCACATTCTACTCCGGTAAATTTAAAGAAATCAGATCACGTTTTATTCCGGTAATTTGTACTATTTTATAATATCGTTTGCGAGGTCTATATTAATATGTAATATCGTTTTTGCGAGGATTTTGTTATATTAATATATAGATTGCAGGGAATTAAAAAAAGTATCAGTTATGCGAGTATCAGTATCGGTTTGACTGTATGATTTTAATACACAGTGACTTTCGATAAGATGATGTCGTCGGGCCGGACCAAAAGGTTCATATTATCGAAAGTTTATTATATCGAGCGATCTCGATTATAACGAAGATCATATTTGAATTACGTGAAACATCATTATATCAAGCGAAAATTCTTTATTATACACAGCAGTACAGTATGGCAATTGTTCAGATAACTATTCTATCTTAGAAAAGAATCTAAGGTGCCTTGTCGTTTCGCATTAATTGAATGTAAGAGTATTTTTTTCTTTATATTTAACAATGTTTTAAATTCTTCGTGTGTGATAACGAACTCTTGGTTCTGCTGTCTAATGTAATTAGTAATTAGGTCTACTCTTCGCTAAGGAAAAACTTTTATCTAGATTCAGCCAGTACGATGAATTTTTGAGAATGGTAGAGACAGTATTTTCTTTAATTCCATACAGTTTAGCGAGCGTTGCATGAGTCAAATTAGGGTGAGCTTTCTTTTTTAAACACAACTCTCTTTTTTGAACGCCCGTTAGAGAAACTCGCTTTATTGCAGGTTTTTTGCTAACTATACTTCTATTGTTCATGTCTTTTAATTGTTGCGAGAATGAGTTAAAGAGAATAACTTATCACAAAAACATCGAAATCTTGATTAATTTGGTTTAAATTAATTGGTTTAATTTAATATGATTTCTTGCTCGATAAAATGATTACCAATTATGGTGATGATTTACGAACTTCATTATATCGAGATCGTTTTACTTATATAATCGCACTTACAACATCATTATAACGTTATATCGCGAGATTATAAGTAATCTTCATTATATCGAGCCCAATTTTATTATAACTAAGTTGGGCCCGGAAAAAAGCATCATATTAGCCAACATCATATTATCGAGGGATCATTATATCGAAAGTCACTGTGTAAACTTTGATCGACGAGTTTTTAATTTGAATTTGTTCACGTGATATATTATATTATTTCGTTCATTCTGACCTACTTTGTCTGCCATTTTGAATTGTGTAACTAAAGTTAATGATGAATACCTACGATCATTTGGCAATCATTCCGACTTCTCACACAAATACCTTTGCCATATAAATTATTTGTTCTTATTATTTATTATTCTAGGATCGAGTTTTCATTGTATTTATATATTCATTTTCATTACAACTTTATTGTATAAACTGGACAGTTACCACTATTACATTAAATTAAAACATGCGCAATTTGAAACATGCACGTAGTTCCGAGACATTGAAAACAAACAGTCTACTAAATGTAAATGAAGGACAAACCGAAACATCGTCAAAAGGTTGGGCTAGTAGATTACGACGGTCGCCCTCAGCTGCTTCGTCGATGTCCCCATTCTTTCTTAGGAAAAACGTGACGCAACCCGTGCCTAATGGATCTATCGGTGGCTCAATGTTAAGTAGATTACGTGAGATGTCTGTAGGGTATTCGGACGTTGTACAGCTATTGATTTCAAAGAAAGTAGGTTTCTGAAAGGTATCGAAAAAAATGAAGTAAGATTAGTAGAACGCACGTCGATAACAATTGCTAATGCATAACATTCGAATAGGTCACTTTGTTACTACCAGAAGCGATTGCACTGCCATCGATAAAAATTGATCGTGCGTTTGTAGAAGATCATGTAATTATAACGCAGAAAACAGAAGACGGGATACAGGCAGTTACGTTGAGTGGCCTACGAGCATTCATTCGACCGTGAGTAAAAATAAATGTATATGCAAACAGCCTTCTTTTTATAAACTATGAAGCCCCTTTCGAATGTTTGAACGTTTTGCTCATTCATCAATATCAGGAACATTTTGATTGCGATTGGAGCAATACAATCTCAACCGAATGACTCGCTATCAGACGAATCGATGAAACCAAGGTGAGAATTTGACGTTTGCGGAGACGCGTTCGATCGTATGCTGACGCGTGGGTTAATCTATTTCAGGTCTATCTTTGATTCATACACTTTACCCAAGAACCTATCGGAATATCCGACGATTAATGTAATAAATGACAACGCAGAGTCTATGCTCCATGGAATGAGTATACAAGGAATTGTGATTGCAGCACCGATAATACGACAAGAGATTGCTGAGCAAGTTGCTTTGATCTGGGAGATTGAAGAAAGATTAACTTGGATTACGGATCTTCCCGGAAAATTACCGGGTGAGATTCAAAGGTAATTCTGTAATATCAAAGTCAGAATTTGTGTTCAAGAGAATTTGTAACGTCAAATTAAACTTCTTTTGTTTACTTGTTTACGTGCATAGATTTGTCCAAGAGTATGGAGATAATCGGCCATTATCAGAAGATTTATGCTCGGAAAAGATCCAAGAATTTTATCAATATTGCTACAATGAAATTGAGTCCGTGACTGGATTAACGGAGGCCGCTGAAAGAGAAGTTGAAGCCAAATTGAGTTGTATCGAAAAGTTTATATGTTCGGTACTGTACACGAGGTAAAACACGTTTACATTGGAAATGTGATTGAATAGTATACTTCAAGACAATGACTATATTTGCTTCATACTGTGTTAGTGTTTATATTGGACGTGTCATGTGAAGAATCAGTAGATTTTCTGTTAATATTTTTCTGACAATTTTAATTCACCTTTTCTATAGTTTATTTTGTCCCGAATGGGGTGACGATGAACTATTCGATGAAGCGCTAGGATCAAAGATTGCAGCACTGAATATATTGGAACTAGGTCTTGGCCATCTTGGTATTACTGTTCAGCCTCATCAGCAAGTTCTCTTTGACAATGCTATATGCGCTGCAAGCGACATATTTAGTTCACTGGAGACGTTAAAGACGCCCGGTGAGAAACTGGATATATTTGTAAGATGTCATCGGATTGTAGTCGGTAAGTGTAACCAAGGTGCTGTTGGCTATAGAATCGGAGCGCAGAAATACCTTATAATAAAGTACCCATTCTACTATCTACACTTTTACAATAGATACATTGAAGCAATGTACATCAATTCCAAATCCATCCGAGGATGTTAAACCTGTAGATAACCAATTGGCTCCTGTTTCTCAACCATCCCCAACAGAAGAGAACAAGAATTCTGCCGCTGACGCTATATTTCCCGTATTGATATACATTCTTGTGAAGGCGAATCCCAAAAAATTAAACTCGCATGTTCGGTGCGTATGGCAAATATTGTGTTATTATATCCAACTTTTTCTTAATACTTTTACTTGATATGATTATTTAGATTTATTCAGAGGTATAGAGCACAAGCACTACTCCATGGTGAATCAGCTTACTGTCTAACAAACATAGTGAGTATATTCGTCATCCGAGTACTGAACTATGCATATGAATTTTCAAATAGGTAATAGTTCACTAACATGTATTTACGCTACAGATGGCAGCAGTATCATTTCTAGAGAATGTAGAGTTACAATTATTGGGCTTAGCAAAGGTGCAGAGGTTTGTTTTCTGGGTGACATGGCTCGCTTATGCTTCTGATGATCCGGCCAGCCAGCTTTAGAAAGTCTAACAGATTATGTATTAGTCAATTTTCGGGTGGCTGTTATTAACGTGCGCCTTTCTTTTGTTTATAGTACGATAAATGACATCGAATCACCATCATCACAAATGCAACCACAACAATCACCATTTACTTCAAAATTAGCATCAACATTAACAATGACATATACGTTACCAATTTCATTAACGCTTGGTGTAGGTCGTACCATAGGATACGGTGTTGCAGGAGCTGCAGGGGTGGCGGGGAGTGGGCTACATATGATAACGGATGTTGTTGATACATCGTATAAGAAAATTGGATGGATGCTTGGATATAGTGAGAATAAGCCGACTGATCGCACAGAAGTGGATCGCGAAGGCATAGAGACAGAGGCAATGACCAACGATATTATTGTAGATAAACCAAAACAGACATCAGGCGAGACAGTTGTGACCAACTCATCACCATCCATTGTTTTTAATGAAGAGAACACAGTATTGACTATTGATAAATCATCGATGTCAAATGAGCATAATACAGTAAACACGAATGAAGCATTGTTGATAGACTGCCACGACGTTAATGTCAGAAATGAAAATTTGTGTGATGCAACTGAATTATTGTTATCGACGTCTATGGATGCAGCATCATTGTAAGTGATATTTGAAGGTATAAAACTTTTCGAGTTGTTAAATATGCTTATGGCGTAGGCGCATTATATACAATTAATACAAGTATACTGTGGCGAGTATAATCTCGGTCATTGGTAGTTTGTGGTTGTTATTACTCATGTCTCTATCCACTGTGCCGCAATGTATAATACTATTGTCATTTACTATATTGATTCGTATCATCGGTTCTTCCATAAATAGACAACGGCGTGCGTGCAATGTAAGTAACAAACAGTTGCCATCACCGCAAATGATCAGAAGCAGGATAGGACTAATGCTCTCATTCCATTGTTAGATAGCGCCACCCATCAACCGCTTCATAAAATGCCCGATTGAAGAATTTAAGGTTGTCGATGTACCTGGTAAGCAATTGCTTGGTATACGCCATAATGTATAGATTGGATGACTAAGAATGCTTACAAAATAGAACTGCTATCAGATTATAAACGTATTGCCATTGACATAGCGGCTCTTGGGCTATTTGCAGACTAACATTGAATGCATGAACAAATTACGAGAACAGGAAACACAACCACCACTATTATTCTGTAGTATTATCTGGTGCTGATCCTGTTACCTCTATGCTGGATGTAAAAATATTAATAATAATAAGTCTTCAGAAAATTTCTACAATATGAACCAAGTTATGTCTGGATTATTGACATGGGTCTGAGAATGCCTCGATTAAAACTATTGATCCGATGAACAAATAATGCTTGTATCTTTATACAAAGATGGGCAAAAACGTCATTCGACGACGACAGGACTTGAACCTGTGCGGGCAGAGCCCATGTGATTTCTAGTCACACTCCTTAACCACTCGGACACGTCGTCAGTTCGAGGATAATTGCGGTTTCTAATATATATAACCACTTTCAAAAACAGACTTTGGGGTCACATGATTTTCCAAAATTTTTTGGAAACGGTTGCTAGCTACCCTTCGCCCAAACCTTCCTTACAATGCAATTTCCAAAACACATCCGTCTATGCCAGTATTCCATCCTTCCTTTTTTTAACCGCTTTACAGCCCTTCTACCTACTTCAATTCACCACCGGCGCTCTTTCCATGCGACCCCACTGTCTTATAGTGTAAAGCCGTTCTTGGCTGACGATCAAGTTCTCAGCTATACCGAGAAACATACCAGTCGCGGTCCCGCCTATATGGACTACATCTACACCAACAGTTTACATGCTTTTCCTGAAGAAGCTAAACAAATGATTTCCCGACCTCAAGCGCTTTTCCTGTCATGGATAACGCGACTTATGAAAGCAGAAAAAGTACTTGAGATTGGAACATTGCTAGGTTATAGCACCCTTGCGTTGGCAGAAGGAGTTAAAGAAAGGGAGGAACCTTACGTGCTTAGTCTAGAGAAGGATCCGATCTATGCTAAGCTGGCAAAAAAACATATACAAATGGCGAAAATGCACAAAATTGTTGAAATTAGATGCGGAAAGGCTTTGGAAACGTAAGTTACGATCTTTTTTCTTAAGATTTGAGTCAGCAGCAGAATAAAAATATTTTGAGAAGGTTTGACACGGATCGTTAGTCGCTTTTCAAAAATGGGATGAACATTAAACCTCTGATTTTATTGTTCAGGATGAACGAGTTTGATGATTCGATGAGATTTGACTTGATATTTCTTGGTGAGGATTCATTATCATAAGCATACTGCTAATAATTGAAATCCAAATTAGCTAAAAACCATTATTAAAAAATCCAGTTCTGACGAAACTCCAAACGATCAGATGCAAATAAATCGGGATATACAGATTACTATGATCTCATCATGGAGAAGGATCTCCTCACGAGAAATGGATTATTGGTGGTAGACAATGGTAAATAATATTGGGCAATACACGCGTTTATTCTATTCTCTGTAATCATATCCACTGAACCTAACTGCTTATTGTTTCATTTCTTATAGTATTATTCAAAGGTTACGTACATCCACGTGAACTGCAGCCATTCTATCGGCCTCCGAAGAAAAGATACTCGAAACAAGAAGAGAAACAGTTAAAGGTAGCCGAAGAAACGGATGAAAAGTACAGAAAAATTGGGAGAAGACTGCAGCATTTCAATCGACATGTGGCCGAGGATCCAACTACTGAGCAGATGTTGGTGCCGATGTTTGATGGCATGATGTTTATTTGGAAGAGAAGACCAGGCAGAAATGCGTGGGCTGCACAAGATCTAGAATAGAGTATTATATAAGAATAATATTGGGAGCATATTTATGTGCAGTTCCAGAAGCAGATTTTAGTAAACAATTTCATCTTGCTTTCCCCCCTTCCCCCCGAAATTAGTACAAAGTTTATGTGGGCGTTTAATAGAAAGAATTTTCAGAAAAGTATGTGGGAGGACAAATAAAATATGTAAATGATTACTATTAAAACCATTTGATGCTATTCCCACATGTTTACGAAACACGCGCTTGTCTGTGTCAGGTACTCGTTGAATTGTTCGAAGACTCTTGTATCTTTGCTTTCATTTTCTCAAACTCAATTCGTGCGTCTTCTTTGGTCGTTGGTGGTTTCTACGTAAGTATATATATATAATAATTAAAGGGGATCAAAAGTTCAAGTGCTAACAAAACATATGTGTATTAAAACTCACGTTTGTTGTCTCTAATTCAGGCCAAAATTGAGTCTGTTGAACGTATGAATGAGATTATTACTGTTTATCAATATCCAGTTAAATGGTTAAAGATGGTGATTTCAGTTACAATACCCCTCTGATATGTTTCTCGTAAAATTTGGGATCTCCGAAATAGTACATCATAGCTATTGGAAAGAAAATATAGACACTAAACTGTCAGAAGAAAATGGAATCGTTAATAATATATCAATCAAAGCAAATGACAATGGTTAATCAAAGGTCTGAAATACTTTGAAGATTTCTAAATTCGGTCCAGCCATAACCGTAGAAGAAAAAGATATTCGTTTCACGATGGTCAGCACACGATAATGCTAATATTGGCAAATCAAAATTGTCTAACCATATTTGGATTAGTAAAATACTAAGTTCTTGAACGTACGTGGGTTCCCAATAATAATAATAATAACACTTTCGAACATAATGTCTTGAATAATGTTCGAAAGGTATATCAACACATGGATAAAAAAAGCTTACCTGCGCGATCCAGGGAAGGGCAATGAGACCACTTTTCCATACAATGCAGTTTACGTCTAGGACCAACTTGTGGCATCGCAGTTGGCTAAAAAGAAACGTCATTCTAAAAGACATTGTCACAATTTGGGTATCATCTTCGATGACCATAGAACCAAAGCTATGTGCATGCCGACTTGAAATAAATTATCATCATTAGTGAAATATTTTAGCATACCATTAAATAGCAAGGTATGCATTATTAAACGTTATTACCTTTTTGCGTTCCTGTTTTAGAATTTTGGTCACATGTCTGCCACTCGCGGTGAATTGCCGAAATTATCACTGCCGTTGCGTTTGCGTTTGCTATGTCGGTCAACAACATTAATACTACGTGTTCTAATGGGAGCAAACAGAGTGCCATTATTAACAAGTCGTGGCTTTGGAAGGATCTTGACAACGGTCACTCGAATTCTATAACAACCAAAAGACAAGGTATAGATGTAGTCCAAGAACTGAGATCGAGACAGTACTGGACTTCGTCTTATAGAGGCAGCGTGCTTTTGAATCAATCAAGTCGTTTCGATTTTAACAATGCGAACACGTTCGGTAATTTCAAGTCTGAAAATTGTTATGATTATAAACAGTCTTTAATTCCAAGTTCTAAAGCGATAAATTTGTATTGCCTGTCATTAGCTCCATCATTGGCAAAAATAAGAAATAAAGATCCGCGTTATGAGTTTTATGACGCGACCCGTACACGATACATTAGTGAGATTGACGCTGTCCGCGAAGTGTTATTCATGCTATCGACTCGACCGAGCTTTTTATTTCGTCTGGTTAATGAGGAATACAGGGTGTGTAACTATTGATATATCGCGAAAAGTGTTGGGAGTAATATTATACACCGTTTCCCAAGACTAGAATTAACGTCTTTATGAATTTGAAGATAGGTCGAGATTAATGCGATGCTGATGCACTTGACAGAGTTGGCATTTAAAGAAATGTTGGAATATTTCTGCAAATATGGCAATATTCTGAGAAAACTCCGAGGCGTTTCAATGCGGTATAAGAAAACTGTTTCGACATTTTATGATGTTGTCCCATAGAGATTCACTCTTGTATCTCGTGGTTTACCACTCCAGGATCTGCTTAGAGCATTGCTCGCTATACGGCCAGACAGCCCAAGCGTTTGCTTACTCTGTACTAAAAATGCTGTGGTGTTTTGAAGGAAAATTGGCTACCCTGGAATCAGCTTACCAGAAACCGAAAGACGATGATGTGCAAGTATCGCTTTTATGTCTAAAACAGCAGCTCATGAATGACTTTATAGAATTCGAAATCGTCCACGAGATTGTCATTAGTTCCCATCTGTCCGGTAAACTATATAAGTCATGTTTACAATGTCCGATAATTCGATATTTATTTCTTTATGTGTGATGCTTGCAGATGTTTCTCCATATCACTCAACACTTTTGGAGGACACAAAGGATAATTCACGCAACACTCATACTAAGAAGTTAACGAAGCCTTCACTGGTGACTTATTTTCTGCTCAATCGGCTATTCCGGGAAGTTACCCGTCATCAGATTTGCGGCAACAAGTCCACACGTGCAATTCTCGAAAGACACCTTGACAACACACTTGCTCCATACGTCCGTATGATTGATGATTGGATATGTAACGGCATATTAAACGATCCGGCAGATGAGTTCTTTATAGTAGGGTAAACGTCTCTATATGCATTTGAAGCTCATCGGATTATTTAGTGACAGTCATCTCATGAGCTATTTTTTTTTCGGGGCACAAGAAATTCCACTATTGAGAAGATGTCATCCAACTACTGGGCAGAGATGTTTACGGTTCGCACGATAAATATAGTTGAGAATGGGGTAAATTCGACACAATCGCTGATACCAGAGTTTTTGAGCACGTTTTACGAGAGGATTTTGTTCTCTGGAAAAGGAAGGAATTTGCTGATAACGTTAAATTCGAACGAGGTATTTCTATAACACTCGTAACGAGAGCGAATATGTAGTTTGCCCTGAATTTTTTATTTGGTTTTTTGACAGTTTTCTAATCGCAGACTGGACCCTTAACTCCGCTGGTGCTCGGACCAAACGTCGTATCTGATTTGACTACATTTAAGCCGTTTAACGAACATTTTGCTGAACAAGTTAAAAGTTACCTTGAACCGCGTTATCTGCATATTGGGAAATGTATATATAATACATTAGTGGAAAGATGTTCACTCTGGAGACATATTAGGGCATTGTCGGGATTATACTTGTTACAAGAAGGAGATACAATGCGGAAGTTGTGTGATGTTATGTTTGAGAGGGTGGGTTAAACTTAATGTTCATTCAAGCATGAGTTAAAGAGAATATTGTTATTGATTTTTTTTATATTGTAGATTGATAGGAATCAAATGTGGTACGATAGCTACGTCTTCAATGATATGATATCGGGTATATTTGCTGGGGCCAAATGGTTGGACAGCGATCTTGTCAGTGCTTGGATTGATGATGTGGCGGGAAAGAAACCTGACATTACTACCGTCAAAGTTTTCGAGAAGATCACAATTGAATACCGAGTGAGTTAGTTGAGTGGTTCACAGCTGTGTGGTGTTGTAGATGGGCTCACTAAATTTAGTATTGGGCTTGTATCTTGAACTATCAACTTATTGATCATACTTATTTTGTGTCATAGGTTCCCTGGCCATTGGATAATATAATACAATCACGTACGCTACAAATATACAAGAAAATATTTACACTTTTGCTACAAATAAAGAGGGTAAAGTTCCTGATGGAGCGGCTTGCATTTTCTCGTATGGGCGCCGGCGAAGAAAAGACTTCGGCTATGATGATGTTCTATGGGCTCAGGACGAAATTGATTTGGTTTTTAAATGTCGTTTGGGACTATTTGATGAGAACGGCGAGTAACTGAGTTATATGATTATGCTTAGGTAAAAGATTGCCAAAAAAACTAATAGATATTGTCCGTTATACTGATAGATTCTCTATGCAGAAACACAGAAATTTCACGAAGATCTTACGACGGCTTTCGACATTGATAAAATGATTATGCTACATGAAAAATATATACAACGTATACATTCTAGATGTCTTCTGACGCAGGAGGTATGCCTGACTAGTTGAAATAACGTTTATTCGGACGTCTACGTTAAACTCACGACACTTTCTCTTCAAATATCGTCTTTTCATGCTACTTGAAAGACATTATCAATTCACAAATCAGTCTTTTCGATCCTTAATCTAACTTTTCAATTTAGCACACTCTATAACCGTTATATGGAAACCAACATTATTCCTTGCGAGTCGCCGTCCGACAATCGTCGTACCACTATAAACCCACACACATTTTCACTCTACGATTCCGATTCAGATTCCGACTCGGATTCCGATGACTTTATAATCGAAGATGAAGAGAAGGAACTTGCGAACGATGTAGATAATTATGTTCCAAAAGAAGTTAATCATGAAGAGTTTGTTGAGGGTCTGCAGAGAATAGGAAGGGAATTTGATAGGCATAGAGATTTTATAGCTACCTTGGTGGGCGGAATAGGCAGAGCTGGTGGGTTTTGGTGGTTTGATGCGCTCTCGCTTGCTTTGAGAGCATAAAATGAGGCAGCGGTAATGGTTAGATATAAACAGTAAAATGTCGATGAAATGGTGTGGGATGAAGAGATGCGCATGATGTCAGTATAATACTATTTGATCACCATGTCAAAGACACTAAAACATCAGGAGAGGCAAACACGCGGTTCTTTCCAAAAGCAAATGTTTTCGTTTACTGAGTATAAGACGGTCGATTTATCGCAGGCTGGCATTATTTTGCGACTGTTCCAGTAGTCTTTTTGAAAAGGGTGTTTCCAATTATTCTTTTATTCACCGAATAAAACTTACACGCTTTCAATATGTACTCGGTAATCATTTCGAAATCGTTAGTACATCATATGAAATGTATAAAGTTTATTAGGGCCAAAATACGTCATTTGAAATTCTTAAATAGCGTCAGTCAGGAGCTTATTTAATCTTGCAATTCGAGAAGCGGCCGACAAATCGACTGTTTGATCCTCTCCAATCTCAATGATAAATCCGCCCAAGATGTTTGGATCAACCTACAAATAAATAAATAAAAAAGTTCTAATCGACCAAGAACCAAACTTGGACAATGAAAACTACATATTGTGAATTACCTTGTTGGTTACAATCGGTGTCTGATTTGGTTTAACAAATCGGCTTTTACCAAGTAATGTCTTCAGTTTGGTCTCGGCTTTTTTATCGAGTTCCTGTGTGTAAGGTTAATAATATTACAAGATCAAATATCAATTTGCAAAACCAAAAAGTCAAAAGTTTTCAGCAACTTACTGCAGCACTAGTTATGGTAATAGGTACTTCTCCTCGCTCAGCAACCATGATTTGTAGATACTTTTGAATAACCCTCTCTGTCTCCCCAAGTCGACCATTCTCGGCTAACAATTCGAAGAAATTGTTTGTCAACTCTGAATATTTTCCTTGTTTGAGCAATTTCTTTACACCTTCTTTTTTGGCTTCGCGCGCTACTGATGGATCAGCGAGAAAAGTCTGAATTGTCGAATTTTTGGCAATAACCGATTCGATTTGTTTTAGGTCTCCTTCAACAGTCTTTGTACTCGACTTTTTTGCTGCAGCACTGTATAGAGCTGTCGCGTAGCGACCGTCTATGCCATGTACAACGAGAGGAACCTAAGAAAAAAGAAATAGACAAATGAAGGTGCATAAGCTTAAATGCGCAATGTTGGGGACAGGCAACAGAAAACTCGCACCTCTACTGAACTTCCTCCTGCAGTAGCATATCCTCTCGCCAACTGGTCAGTATAAAAATAGTAAAGTTTAACTTTCATTGATAGTGAACCCTGCTATAAACCTTTCATTATGCATGTACCTTTGGAACGACCGAAGCCAAAGTAAGCCTTGTGAGCGAGGCCATAATGAAAATATTTATTTGCGTTTTCTGTTGATGTTCTTTAATTAGTATTAGCGTTAGTGCTACATATTACTATGATCAATCGGATGATCGGCAACACATGTCAGAATTTTTATTTGGTGTAATAATAATAAAGTGGGATATTTGTAGTCTATATAGACTACAAATATCCCACTTAGTCGGGACTATAACCATCCCAATGGGAAATGTTCAGCTAATTGCTTGACCATAAACCATTGGGACGACACATGAAAAATATGGTTATTTTCGACCGTTCCTTTTAATCTTAATTCGTAACTCTTGTATGTACTGCCGAACAAAGGTTTGTCCGAAATTTTCGACGTGACATGGGAACTCACACATGCTTAAATCGAGGATGAGAATTCAACAACTTATTACATATGTATTCTGACATCGACAAAGGTTTTAACAAAGTCAGTCAAATATTGATATCATTTACTTTGCTGATTTTATTAAAGAAACTAAAAAGCATAAACTATTAACTGTGGATTAGAAAAAACCAATCCAATTTTCTGAGCAGATTAATTAAAAGCGGGACGATGAAATTCCGATAAAGCGGAGTTGTATAGACGCAAATGTGGAGTATAGCAGTTAAAGACAACTCCGGAAATTAATTGTGACAGCAAGCAAAAATATATTCATTACATGCAGCACGTACACTAGAAACGTCCAAACCAAAAGGGACAGCTTCTTTTAACATTGTGCGTTTTGCTTACCAATTGGCAAAATTTTGGTGTGCTAAGGGTATCACACTTAAATGATGCTTTTGCTAATGGGGGACAGGGATTGCAAAGTCTTTCATATAAAATTTCGAACGATTGCCGAAATATTTCTCGTATGTGTAGAAGCATTTCCATCTCATCAACAAATGAGAGCAGCTCTTTTACAGAAGCGGGAATTATCGTTTGACCAACGTGAGCCATTACATATATGTCTTTGATTAAATCCATGACGTAAAAATCAATCGTGTAGTCTACAAAAGCAATTCCAAGAATAGTTAACTAACCAATTACATCAAACAACAAAAGCGTTATTGTTTGCATTATTGTTTGCCTTACCGATACATTGAAACCCCAACACCTTAACATCTGCTCCTTTGTCAATAGCCGAATCCAAGCAGTCCTTCATAAAGATACCAACGCGGATGAGATCATTACAGTTTTTGAATGTGTTGTTTTTTTGTGATGGGGGGCTCACTTCACCCACAAATAAAACAGTTTTCGTATGTAACTGGTGAACGACAGAAGTGATAAAATCAGGTTGCTTGGTTCGTCCTTCAAAAGCTCTGATCTTACTCTCTTCCAGGGCTGTGTTTGGCCATTGAACTATGTGTTCATTTGGACTATCAAAAAACCCTCTCATGATTCGGTCAAAATAATTAGTAATGTGCGTCATTTCGCTGTGATCGCTCCTTATTCTTAACATCGGCAATGTTCTTAGAGAATCAAGGATGACGTAACCTGCATTCCCTCGTAATGCTTTTTCGTGCACAAGCTGATCACATAACCAGTTTGTGGCGTCCTCACACGAATATTTCACTGCCATCTTAATGGCTTTCCTGAAGGTTGATTCACAGTTCGGATCCAATACAGTTCGTTGCATCGGCAGACATTCTTTATGGATTTCATCCAGTAAAGATGAGCTGAATATATCAATCATCGACTTCGAATGGGAATCCGGATTGAGTAGCAGAATTGAGGAAATGGCTAATATTTCATGTACATTCGACTCCACGAACAAGCCCCGAGCTCCAGTGAATGGTTTTTATAACTACGGAATAATTGAGATACATCAACACCTCCTAAAACGTAATGTCTACTTGCATCTCCGAGTTCAAAGGACATTTCTGGCGGGACATCATTAATTGATGCTATGTCGTCTTCTTTCTCAAAGAAAGTATTATCAGAATGAGTCAGAAGTTCTCCTGTCGGAGGGCATGGTGATTGTGTACTATACACGTTAGTGTCCACATTCTCAAATGGCCCTCGTATGTGTTGAAACTTATGTGTGTCGTCGCATGGAAAATAATCACTTATTTTTGTACTGCGCTTTTTCTTTCTTTGTTCATCGGCACTCTAAGTTTAAGAAGTGGTTAGTTCTGCTGATTTCAATTTCTATATATAATATGAGAATATATACCTCCTCTTGATTCTCTTTGTCTCTTTTTGACACGTTATCGCTATATGTCTTACAACTGATACTACCACCAGGGAAGGAGTTTCCTGCACACACTGTGGAATTTCGAATATTTATCGAATATCCAGCAGCTTTGTTTGAACAACGATCCTTTTCCCACTTTCTTGCCGAATGGTAGTCAGGACGAGGCCCCTAGCAAAGAATAGTTATGTTTTACTAACGCTCTTAATACGTCTTTCAATTTCCCATTTATTTAATCTCACGGTCCAGCAAGTAGCCTTGAACAGCAGATAACCCAGTAAGCCATCTGTGCCCGTGAGTCCAGGATTGGTTCAGCAAGTAGCCTTGAACAGCAGATAACCCAGTAAGCCATCTGTGCTCCAAACCTGGTTCGTGGCTCAGCAAATAGCCTTGAATGACAAGAACAAAAAGCCCTTGACACGCCACCAATTCTCTTTTTTGCACGAGTTATTGTACGTTTTTACTTGCCTCTCGATATCGATCGAGCAGCAGGCTCGCCTTCTTTCGTCTTGCATCTTGCTGCGACTTGATGAGTTCGAGACTTTTCAGGTATTCATCAATGCTTTTATCGAATTCGAACGGCTCCGTATTACATTCAGCTAAAAAATCCAAAATATTCCACTCTGAACTCTTCCGTTCGAAGTATTTGTGCATTCCGTAGTTTGGCAAAGTTAGTACGCGTCGCCGACGCGTCGACACTCATTCATTTATAGGAAAAAACCCGACAGGTTATATGATCCGGAAACCGGCGAGCGGAAACCAATAATATTGCATACAGTTATTGTCGTCATTGTAGAAAGGGTCACCTTAACATACACCCCGGGTGTACGAATAGAGCAGCAAGATTTGTTACAGTAACGTGACCGCATGTACGACGTCTTCAGCCAGTCATCAACTTTGAGAACTGAGCTGCATTACATTTCCCAATAAGGGAGTGTTAATAAAAAAAATTATTATAACGATAATATATATAAGTTCTCTCGAAAGGCTGATACTAATACCTTAGCAATTTGAGCACCAACCCCGTTCCCAAGCGGATTGAAAGTATATTTACTATCAAGCGATTAACGAGATCGAATCGTTATACTCTGATTGGTCGAAACCTAAATTTCCGATTATTTTTCGATTGCAATAAGATTACTTGCTTATCAAAAAGCTGAAAGTTCGTTAGCAAAACACAACTCTATCCGTTATTAACACTTTGATCCCCTTTTAGAACAATCACGTTTTCGAGATTTATCAAGTAAATCTCGCAATGATTTATTGAACACTCTTCATGACGTTAGAAATATATTATCTGAAACATAATTAATACTAATAAAGATGATTTAATGGCATTTCCTCTAATGTTCTGCAATTGGATCTAGAAGTTTCTAAAAAATTTTTTCGCTATCATAAGAAGAATGATCTGCTTGTCCAAATCCGGACTGTAGTATGTGATAATAATGTTCTAAACCGATCTGGTCATCAGACCGATCTGAGATCTGATATATTCTCATTGGTCAATCTTGCGATTACCCCCCCTACTTATGTCACCTAATTGTAACGGGACAGGCCCTACCAGGTTACATAATCTTATTAAATTTATACGTCTATTTATTTTATTACTAGCAGACGCAAAGCTCTGTAAATGGGAAGCCTCCGTGAGAGATATTTGAGAGCTAGGAACATTTTCAAGTTCTGGAAACTCTGCACTTACACCTTCCATCTCACTTGCTAGGTACCACCTACTGTTTGTTTGAACGATTACTTTTAGTTTGTACAAAAACAGCTTTCAGTATGAATAAATTATTAAATTATCTGGCAGCTCGTTTAGGATTATGAAGGCTGATAAGTATTCGAGGCTGTAATAATGAAAGAACAGAATAATATTAAATTCTTGAAAGTCAAGAATAGATTTGTAAAGTCCACTTTTAGCAAGAAAAGGCACGGTTTTCAACCATTACTATTACGTAATAGTGTGCCCTTTGAATTAATATAAGGTGACATAAGTAGGGGGGGTAATCGCAAGATTGACCAATGAGAATATATCAGATCTCAGATCGGTCTGATGACCAGATCGGTTTAGAACAGTACCATGCAGCAAAAAGCAGTTTTGTTTTTACTTCAATATCAACTATTCAATTTCAATTTTAATTGAAGTTAAGGGGACGGATCGTTTATATATGTTCTAAACCGATCTGGTCATCAGACCGATCTGAGATCTGATATATTCTCATTGGTCAATCTTGTGATTACCCCCCTACTTATGTCACCTGATATTAATTCAAAAAGGCACAATATTACGTAATAGTAATCATTGAAAACCGTGCCTTTTCTTTGCTAAAAGTGGACTTTACAAATCTATTCTTGAAATTTAATATTATTCTGTCCTTCCATTAGTACAGCCTCGAATACTTATCAGCCTTCATAATCCTAAGCGAGCTGCCAGATAATTTAATAATTTATTCATACTGAAAGCTGTTTTTGTACAAACTAAAAGTAATCGTTCAAACAAACAGTAGGTGGTACCTAGCAAGTGAGATGGAAGGTGTAAGTGCAGAGTTTCCAGAACTTGAAAATGTTCCTAGCTCTCAAATATCTCTCACGGAGGCTTCCCATTTACAGAGCTTTGCGTCTGCTAGTAATAAAATAAATAGACGTATAAATTTAATAAGATTATGTAACCTGGTAGGGCCTGTCCCGTTACAATTAGGTGACATAAGTAGGGGGGGTAATCGCAAGATTGACCAATGAGAATATATCAGATCTCAGATCGGTCTGATGACCAGATCGGTTTAGAACAGATACGTACGGGGGGTGGATATTATTGGAGATTGTCAAGATTATGTTAGGTTAAGTTTTAGATAATTACGCTTGTATAATGATATGTAATTTATATCCACAGTATCAAAATTACTACCACTTTATAATTCTATAACTAGTTTCTTGAAACATGTCATCACGATGTTAATCAATTTCCCACTTCTAAGTATTACTCTTCTCGTCGAAAGTATAAGTGTGGTACAGAATTTTACTAGTCAAACAGATAAAAAATTGAATTTATTTGCTTACTTGATATTAAATAATTCCGGATTTATACTTTGACGGGGATATATACAATTGTTAATACCTTAAACTTGCTGATGTCTCTAAATGTTTAGGTTCAACATAATATAATTTTATTGGCGCGATTAAAATTGTTAATTGTATTATCTCAAACAGCAGAGCAATTTTATTACACATATGGAGAGTTGGTGACTTAAAAATTCGATATGTTTTACCAGTAAATTCTGTACCGTATTTGTATCAAACATATGGCGCAATAAAATTATAAAATTGGCGTAATTTCGCACTTTTTCAACACGAAAACGTTAAGTTATAATTTTTTAAATGTTTGGCGGAGTGGAATGTTACAAAAGAAAATGTAATGGTAGGAATAAAGTGGATTAATGTATTGTTTATTCGCTATCAAAGATTATGGTTGTATACTATTTTTATTCTCCGGTGTTACAAGTTCGAACTATTCACCATGAAAAGTTTTTTTGCGGAATTTAATAGTTTACCTAGTCTATGTAGGGGAGAAAAACGAATAATGTAGATAGGCAAAATATTTACGCAAATGGAAAATTTTTCAAATTAGCAAGTAGAAACAAGTTATCTATAGAAGTTATTCAGAGAGCTAAAAAATAACTTAATGCTGGAATTTGCGCCCCTACCTCTTTGTAGCATCCTTTATTTTATTCGTTGCTATACGATATATATGTCGTATGTAAATCCCGTCGCCATGTAAATCCCGGATTTACATATGTAAATGCGGTTTTGGGGTCCTTGACGGAATTTACGTACGACATTCATCTATTTATTTTGGGGTCCTTGACGGGATTTACATGGTGACGGGATTTACATACAACAATAATAATAACAATAACAAGCCTCGCTTTTTTTGACTGTATTTGATCCTTATATACTACCGAAAACTCTATATTTGCAACCCATTTCACTTACAAGACAGACATATCTGTATAATGAAGTAAGAAGGTTTGTCGATTATCCTCTTAAAGACATAACTTGCCCCAAACCGCTGCCAGAAGTTAGATTTGGGGGTTATATGCAAAATGGGGTGATTACTATAAAACGGCCCAATTTCTTTCAAAGATGATTTTCTGATCGAAATATTTACGTACATCTGACTTTTCAAACATGAGCTGAAAGAAACGTCAAATATAAATTTGAGGAAATCGGTATAAGTCACGAATATTTGCGTAACTCAATAAAACAACAGGATGAGAAAATTTATGCTTAGGCTCTAAAGTGGCTAAAATGTTATATAGATCGGCAAGGATTTTAGGGTACAGATTTGAGACTTGTGGTGAACTTCTTTACACTTGAGGTCAGGAAAACGGCATATGATAGATAACATACAAAAATTTTGCACCCCAAATCACCAACTACCCATTTTCATGGATCAGTCCCCATATATAATACACTGTAGATACGACTATTGTTCCAGCTAGAGAAGAATGCGACTGACTGCTGTGAATACTTGATCGTACCACAGCTTTGTCGTACGGCCCTTTGATATCAGCTTTTGCCTGTGTTGAAATGGTAATGCCCTCTCAACCCGTCTGGAAATTCTGTAACTATATACAAATAGTAAATATTAAGTAAGAATAAAGAGAGATCCTTTGTATTTGTCTGTTCTAATACATAATAGACTAGAAGACCATAATAAAGGGTTAACTAAATGTATTATCTTCGATTACATAGTTTTCGATAAGTCGGGTGTACTCAGACTGTGTAATCAAACGTCGCTAATGCGCATATTTTTATATTTTCAAATACGGTAAAGACCAAAGCATTTATTTGTGTCCAGTTAACTATACAAATCCCGCATTCACATACGCAAAACATTAAAGTTGTAGAACATTTTATTTCAACGCACATTGTATATATGAAGGATCGTATAACGCATCTGATCGACAACGTTTATTCTCACACAAAAATTTCACAACCTAGGCCAATGGCGAAGAAAAAGTTCTGAAAAATAGTATAACTCTGCTGAATTATTTTCAACTGCTTACAAAACAATTTATTATTATTTAATGTAATATCCAATAAGGCGGATAGACAGCATTGATTGATTTTATACATTGATTCGTGAGCGGTATATTGATTATCAAGTCGTTCGACAAATTGTGCGTAGAAACAGAAATTATAAGTGATATGTTTCGGGTTATTAGTTCTCTTAAAAAATTGGCTTGTTTCTTCTTACCTGACGTAAATATTTATTCTGACGACACAGAACTGCTTTCACCATTTACTGTATATAAATGTTGCAATTAGTCGTCGCACTGGTGTGGACCAATCAAATTGAATACGCTTACAAATTGTCTCACGTAAAACCGACTTATTATTATCGAAACACATCCAACTAAGGTCGCTGGAGCTGTTGGCCGACTTGGAGACTTATCGAGAATTACATACAGTGAACTCTCCATTCAAGCACCCTCCATTTATGCACACTCTCCATATTCTGCATTGCACAGTTTTTTTCGTTTTCCACTATATGAATTCCACTCTCTATTTATGCACACCCGTGATTTTCAGGTGATTTGTACAACAATTTATGTTACATAGTAATTTGAAATGGTCAATGTTATGATGATCAGTTTATACAAAGAACAAATCTAAAACGATATTAATATGTGTTACATTAATATTAATATGCGTTGCGGAAAGTGATCTTTATCGACTTCTAAATGAAACATGATTAGATGTTATCCGTTTTTTGCCGCATCGATAAGGAATAGGGAAATAAACACTGTTAATGTCTTTGTTAATAGTAGAAGTTATCTTTGTCATCATGCTTTAATTAACTGAAATCGTTATCTGACTGTAATTATGCCGTGCCGAAACTTATTAAAAATTTAAAAGTCGTCGTTCGTTCTTTTCTACAACAGCAGAAAGATTCTAAAGAATTATTAAAGCATATTAATGCAATAGATCATTATATCAGTTTAATGTAATGAAACAAACGACAATAGATGAGTTTTTTAATCAGCAGTAATATTTGTTTACTATTACGATTCAATAATTTTGTTATAATCACGTGCAACCAATAAAATGCTGACTCTCTATTCATGCATCCCTCTATTCAAGCACGCTCTGACGCATTCCCGAGGGCGTGCTTGAATGGAGAGTTCACTGTAGGTTGGACGACTTACCGAAAATTTAAATAGTGAAAAAAGAAAACTTTCGGCCGATTTAACCCAAAACCAACTTCTCGAGAGAGGCCGACTTATCGAGACTGATGTGTAGCTTTAACAATTTAATATAATATTAATACTCTAAATAATGTCTCATTTGGTAATGGCTAATATTCTAATTTCCAAATCTGTTAAGTGATGAGCTAGTGAGGTTACCTTTGGTCCAGGTTACATGCTAAACTTCTTTGTTGGGTTGTAATCAAATGTAACACGATGGAAAAAGGAAATTATTCTATTTGTATGATTTTACTGTATAACTCATCGCCAAAAACTTTTATTGCAACGAGGTGTTCACTAAAGCCTGTTTGTGAGCTGGTTTTATCTGTCTACGGCACATACAAAGGAAGAGAATAAAACTTATGACGGAAATTGAATATTATACAGTATAACAAAGTTTACGCCTGTAATTGACATTTTGAGTAATTTCATTACCATAGTATTCCCATATTTGAAAAGCAAAACAATGCTTTTCTATTTTTAATTCAATTCAAAGTGATTGGAGTAGAATAATTTTCCTCCCTCAATTAAGGAAAATAAAAATAATTACTGCGGTTTATCATAAAGTTTAAATATGTGACAGTCGAACCGGGCTGAGGAGATCCGGTTTTTTTGTCCTGGTTTTTTTCCTTGCCAGTTTATACACACAATCATATTTATACTACCATAATGAAAAACCTACTGTTAACATTAATTCTTATAACGTTATGTAATTTTACTTTCGCTAAAACATCCTTAAAACGGGGAGACGGATTAATTTATGCATTACACGGTGGAGCAATGTTATCATCCAATTCATCTTTGGTAGAAAGGGATACTTGCACTCCCGGATATTACCCATGCCCAAATGGCGGTTGTTGCGACAGTCAATGCTCCATGAGTTGCAATGCTTTTTTCTGTTGTCAGCCAGGATACCAATGTTGTCCAAACTCCATTTTTTGTTGTCCGACAGGCCTAGTTTGCGATGGTTTGTATTGTATCGAACCAGGGGGCTCGTCGACAACTCCAACTCCAACTCCAACTCCAACTCCAACTCCAACTCCAACTCCGACTCCAACTTCAACTCCAATATCAATATCAATACCATCAATCTCAATATCAATACCGTCAATATCAATACCGTCAATATCAATACCCTCAATATCAATACCGTCAATATCAATACCGTCAATATCAATACCGTCAATATCATATTCAATACCATCAGTGGCAACACCAACACCAAAACCATCAACAACAAAATCAGCTCCAACGGTATTTGGTTCTGTCTCCACTACTTTATCATTGTCATATCTGCCCGTAATCTTATCTATGACTCTAAGTTTTGTGTTTTTAGTTTTTGAATTGGTCAGAAAATAACTCAATAGAGAGTCAATCTTTTATTCAAATTTTACTAAACAAGGTAAAATGGAATATTGTAATGGCAGCTTTAAAGTTTTATTTAAGCAATTACGTACTGGTTTTGCCATATGGGTTACCCCCACAATTTAGGAGACTATCATAAAATAGTATCTTTTTTAACACGGTCGTTTGTCCATCAGCTGATCAAAATTGCCACATTTCATTGGCTACATTCCCAATATGGTAGTAAATTTAGTTAGCATCATCACTATTCACTATTCAATATTCAAAATCAATTTCAATTAAAATTAATGGACGGTCGTTTGTATACGTTCCGTTCCGTAAAATTTCAGCACCCAAAATGGTCAACAAAATGCTCAATGACAATCGGCCGTCTGGTGATCAATTTCTACCAATACTCAAATAATCTAATAACAAAGGTCTGCTGTTGCAAAAAAAAAAAATTTCCAATAAACCGGAAATTGATCTAATGCGGTGATCAATTTCTACTCTACTAACATTTAAATAGTGTAATACGAAGGGAAATTGATTACTCAGCACTGAAGTGTGGCGATCCATTTAGATTAATGTGGCTACCATCATCACAATAGACGGTTGTGTACCAATTAATCAAGACTAACATTGAATAGTTCGACGTCAGTTATCGAGTAAATTAATTAACTATAATTAATCACATATTCTAACGTTAAATTCAAAATGCTTTTATCGCAGCAAAATCTATTACTAAAGCGGATGTGGCTACCAGCTAATGTTTTCGTCAATTATGATTAATCACATCACTAACCAAATGTTTTACCCAAAGCAGATGTGCCTACCAGTTCGACGATCTAACTTTGAATAGTCGACAAGCGAATAACGAATCCACTACTATTGACTAACCACTTAACCAAAGTCTTTACCGCAGTAATTTATTTATTGACTATCAAACATATTTTCATTGACAAGAAACTACACCAACGGAACAATCGCGCTTATCCAAAGACCAGTGTCTAAACGTTTGCGCCGAAAATAGGCTGATTGTGTATCAAGCATACTAACGTTAATACTCATTGTAAACGTGCTCTATGCGGTACATTGTTGTAATTTGATCATCTCAGCCGAGAGCCTAAATTGATTGTTCCAGAAAATTTATTATCCATAAAATTTGTGAGCCTAATACACTAAAGTATCGTCTCCATCGTATATATATGTTGTGTCTGAGTTCAGGACCTGTCTCAGTTTAGAACCCAGTCACTCAGTCCAGAACTCAGTTGTCTTAGTTCAGAACCCAGATAATCAGTCCAGAACTCAGTTGTCTCAGTCCAGAACCGAGACAGGTCCCCAACTGAGGTACAACATACGTACCCTTGTATTACTAGACTTTTACTTATAAACTCCAGTGGAACAGAGGTTCACTGTAATTCCCTTTCGATTCTGTAGTATAATAATTGTTGTTGTTTTATCGTTGGTGCTCTTATTTGGATACGAGTATGTGGTAGTATTATCGCATAGGGAGTGAAGAAGCGCGCACGTTAAATAATTGAATTAGTTTATTTGTAGTTTTAGATTCACCGGAATAAGGACGGCGAGTTGAAGTTAAATTAAACGTCTCCCTGTTGGCGAACACGCCTACGCGAAAGATTATCGCCCTACCACAACCCAGACTGCCGACCGCAACAGTTTAAAAAAAAGATGTATATACAATGATAGTAACGACTTGAAGAAATAAAAGAGTTTTGTAGCATAATTTGTAAAAATACAGGTACATTGTCATTACTTTTCAAGCATAGCACGTACCAATTCAAACAATCACATCAGAAAAGGGTCAAAGCAAAATCTGGAAGCAAGCGTTCATTGAGTGGCATTAATCATCAGTATTGAGCTGGAGTCAGACTTTTCATTTAGCGAGTGGCCACCGAAATCTGTGACTTACATGAGGAAAAAGACGCTGCCGCCTCTTTGCTCGAGAAAAAATCCAGAAAAACAATTGTCAAAGCTGTAAAAGAATGGGTTGATAAAAAAAAAGTGAAGATGCTAATAGCATAGATTATATTGGACCGACCATAGTCATCAATGGCTTTGGGTTCTGAATATACACTCACCCGAAATAAGTAACGGACACCCCCTTAATTTTAATTTGCAGAATACACTACATAATAATTTATTCCAACTTTGTTGAGTAACTTTATTATATGTTGAACATTTTGGTTGGCCAGCCGTTATTGGCGATACATGCTTCAATTCTTCTTGGCATGCTTTTAAATAAATTCATACATACAGATTCCGGAATTTTGGCCCACTCCTCCAGTAAGCACTGTAATATTTTTTGGAACGCTTTCGAAGCCGACGTTCCAATTCTGATCGATTTTTTTTACTGACTATTCTTTTCTTTCAAGACACCAATTGAGTCGATTGGCCTGTTGTTGTGATGAAAGAAGAGGTTTTATTGCCAGAATACGTAAACTGAATCCAATTTATGCAGCCATTTTGCTAAGGTACGATCAAAAATTTGAATATCAGTTATTTTTCGTTAATTATATGAATCGGTTACTTTCTGTTCCTTTGAACAATCTGTTTTAATTCTTGTTGGGCTTTGTGATCCAAAGATCTGGGACAACCACTTCTTGACACCGTTTGCATGCTTTTTCCATTGTGATGGTTATGAATCGTTTGTGTAATTGCCTGATTGTCCGGCTTCGAATGCTTCAATCCAGCGGTCAATAGTACGTTTGGATAGCGCTTTAGTCCCTTCAGCAATGACTAACTCTTTGTAAATGCTGTCCATTCTTTTACCGTTTTTCTAACACACTCAGATATAATTATCGTCGATTTCGCGCGTAAAATTTTTCATTGTTTTCAGTGGGACAAATTTCAAAAATTCTTTCCCGATAACCATCAAATCAGTGGTTGCTGAGATATGTGCCACCAGGTGTTAGTTGGTCAGAAGGCATACATAAACTCGTCTTAAGACAAACTCGGGGAGGCAAAGAGAAGAGTTAGAATGCTGTTGTTGCATGCATTTGATTATTCCAGATCCCTTTTGCACTTTTACTTTTCACCTCGCTTTTAATTTGACACAAAATTTTGTACTACAGGAATTCAAGAAGGCTAGGTGGTGTTGCACTTTCTCTTTTATATTCATACATCAAGGCTCCGTATTCTGGTAAAAGAGCTAGGTTTCATTATTATAACTGGTGACAAGCTTGGTGACGAGCAGGAAAGTGTTGATATACTGCATGAAACTGTATGCCGGAGATGACCGACCACGAACAGCTTGCTCGAATATTACTAGACTATTACAAGTGAGTCTCGATATAACGACACGCTCGGTTCCGGCCCAAACGGTCACTATATCGCGAATACAAATTTATAAACAATGCTCAACCAATTTTGGTGTTAGTATCATAGTAATAGTAAAGAAAAAACAAACCACAATTTATTGGGTAAATTCGATACATTGACAGCTGCTAAAACTTATGCATCGTTATGAGGATTAAAAAAAGCTACCAATCTTTGATTTTATATCTTCCACTGCGTGTAGACATCTTTCCAAGTTAACGGTTAACTCGTTTAGAAAGAATTTTTGTTGTTGAATTTAAGCCTTAATCTCTTGCCTATAGTAACATCGGCGATTGTGGTCTACCTTTTTAATCTCATTAAGAATTAATCTTATCGTTATGCTTTAACGTTAATAAGTAAACGAAAATGGAAATGTTAACAAAACAGCAAATTTGCTAATTTAGTCTTTTCAAAACTGTATCAGTTATGTCACAATCCTTATTATGTTGCACAATGTCAAAGCCCCGTTCCAATCTCGGGTCCCTAATTTTCGTTCAGAACTGCTTGTCACTCGTCTACAACTTTCTATCTGCAAACTCGTTGTCGCTTGGATATACACAGATCCAAAATGAATGTTCTCCTCTATACGTCGACCGCTTCTCATTTGACGTCTCAAATATTAGCCCGACTTAAACTGTTCCTTCGGTCGCATTATGACATAATTCTTGTTGATTCTAACGCGCTTCGTACAGAGCCCTGGTCGTCTTCCACAAGATTACTGATAATGCCTGATGGCGATTGCATAGCTTATCGGCAATCAATGCGATCACCTGTTATTAAAAAAATACAAGAGTATGTCGCTGGTGGGGGGAACTATGTTGGAATCGGTGCAGGCGCCATGTATGCTACCAAGGGAACATTCGAAGAGGAGGGAATTAGTGACGAAAATGCGTCGGAATTTGGTGCAGAAGTCGGGAGGGAAGAGAAAGGGCTAGCTTTTCTTGATGGAGAATTTAAGTTATGGGAAAATAAATCCAACAAGAAGGAAGAGGAGGAACAAAGCCGAGACGGAAAAATCGTGTTAGAATTGAATAAAGAAGTATTGGGAAAGTATTATCCTAACATGCCGCATGAAATAATCATCAATAATGAAGAGACAATGAATCCCACAACGCCCCCCAACAGAGGCTATTTTCATTTGAAAGACTCGCGAAAAGTGATAGTCCTTGCGCGATATAAACGAACAGCTCACCCAGCAATAATCTATAGTTCAATTGGACAAGGCACAGTCATCCTTCTTGGTATTAACATCCTTACTCCATCATATTGTGACTCAATGACGTCTCCATCTGATACGTCATCGATATCACACCTCCTCTGTTCTCTTTTCAAACTCCAGTCCTTAAATGTTTCTCCAACTGAAAGTCATGTTCCGCGCCTATCTCCACTCTTCCTAACCTCATTTCGGTCTTCACTTACCGAGCGCCTCTTACGGAACATCAAGCCTATTACGTCTGATAACGGCATGCTTAAAATGACGAACAACACATTCCGTCTAGTGAAAGATCTCGCTGAATCCGGAGAACTGCTCAGACGATATGATAGGGGCGAATTGGATATAATGGAGGATGGAGAGATACCAGTGTTGGTGTATCATGATGATCCTCCGGGAATGGAGACTACCAAGACGTTTGACATTGGAGCATTTTTCGAATGGTTGAGAAAAGAAAGGCAGAAGGAAGAGTTAGGTCGGAGGAGAGAAATGGAGTTTGGGTCGAGCATCTTGTTCGGTGATAGCATTACGAGCACTCAAACTATTTTGGATAAGTAAGTAAGTGATTTCATAATAGAAATGCTGATCCGGTTATTTATTATATCTTTTAATCACGTACGGATATGTATTTGTTATTTGTCATTGTCTTTTTTGACCATCCGTCTTTTCTATCCAAGCAACTTCTCCCTAATTCAGCACCTACCAACTGGTTTTGTTGTTACAGCCACAACACAAATTCGAGGACGGGGACGAGGACGGAATTCTTGGATATCTCCGCCGGGATGTTTACAGTTTTCCTTGGTGTTACGTCATCCAGTTAATATATACTTGACATCCGTAGTGTTCGTGCAGTATTTGTTGGGATTGGCAGTGGTTGAGGGCATTCGTGATAAGGAAGGATATGAGGTTAGTTTAATAGTTCATATATTGTGTATACCGCTTTGGCTTGCTGTATTTTCTGGACAGTTCATGGAGTAGTTGCATTTGAAGGTTTTAGAAAGCGAATGAGGTGGAATTAAACTCAAGAAAAAGGGGGGGGAAGGGATTCCTCATTCAAAGAGATGGAGTCAACTTTCGCCAACTGTTGGAATTAATTTCCACAATTAAGCTCGTGAGCTAATTAATTAATTTGCTATGCTATTTTCAGAACATTCCACTGAAGTTAAAGTGGCCAAATGATATATATGCCGAAGTCTCAACTCGTGATGGGACATCCAAAGAATACGTGAAGATTGGTGGCATATTGGTAAACTCGCATTTTGTGCGAGATGAGTTTTTGTTAATCGCAGGTACAATTTGCATTGTCTCCAAGTCTTCAATTTGGAATTAGTCACACCTAATTGCTCGATGGATATATGTTTTCCTAGGTTGTGGAGTAAACACAAACAATGTTGCCCCAACGACAGCAATCAATCAGATAATCGCGTCGTACAATGCATTACATAACACAGAGTTGTCAGGATTCACGCAGGAAGGGCTTCTTGCCGTAATTCTCACAAAGTTTGAGTTATTTTATTTGGAATTTGTTAATAATAAGCGCGGATTTGGTGCATTCCTTGACCTATATTATAAAAGATGGTTGCATTCGTAAGTGATGTTCCAACTACCTGACGATCAATAATAATTAGATTTTTGGATGATAATCCCGATGGATGATTACTAATTGTTATTGTCTTTCTCGTGTTAAAAAAACTTATTTCTTATTCCTAGTGACCAAATAGTGACCGTCGAGTCGTTGAACAAGCGGGCGAGGATTGTCGGCATAACAACTGATTTTGGCTTTTTGAAGGCGGTCGTCGTCGATGAGAATGCGAATGACACTCACGAGATAATTACGTTACAGCCGGATGGCAATAGCTTTGATATGATGAAAGGAATGATTACACGTAAAGTAAATTAAATATTGGCCACGTTCTTTATCGACGTAAAAGGCAACCCCGTATTTGTAAATCATTAAAGTTTGTTTATCGTCTGATGATATAATTATCCTGTTGGCTGAGAGGCACAGTTCCGTTTTTATGTTGTGAGACACTATACGTTTAGCTATCGTAACGCCAAACACGCTCACCCTCGAGGAGATGCCCTGTAATAGAAGTAAGTATAAAATTACAAATGAATTAGGGTTGGTCAGAACGTTCTCAGAGTCGTTGCAGTCGTACAATGTGTCTATGAGAAATGTTATACAGCAAGTTTTGTGTAGTAAATTATAATCATAACTTATATCAAGATTGTTTGACATTATGTTAAAGTTGGGAGATAGTAAGCCAATTGAATAGGCAGAAATGTTAAACACAACACAAATTATAGCGAATCTGAGTTGCGTCTTGGCGAAAAGAAAGCAATAGATGAGATATACCAACAATGGGAAGCATTGACGAAATTGAATATGGCACAACAGTTTTATTAGAAGCGCAGAAAATATTTTTAATAAACAATAACAAGTTGCTGCCTGTAATGGTAATAATCATATGATAGATATATTAATATGTTGTTCGTAATCCGTAACTTTGTTTGGTCCAATGTAAGGCAAAATTAGCTGGCAATAAACATACTGTTAAGCAGAATCTTGCTTGTGGTACTATTCCAATTTACATTACATTTTTCGATCTGCTTCGGACGTTTCCTATATACAGCACATATAAATAAAAGCTGAGCATTTATTTTTTCAATCTCTGTTTCTTTTTGCACTGCACATTTCTACGCTTTTCCACCTCTCAAATAGACTTTTTTTTATTATTCTATACGGGAAAGGACAATACATACATACATATATATGCAAGACACATTTAGCGAGGTCAGAAAATAAACTGTAGTTTCGCACACACATATAACGTCTATTTGCTGGAATTACCATTCAACGTTCATTCATTCATAAAGCATTGAACATATATTTAATATACTCCACTGTCTTCCTATTAGACTAGGATGTCAAGTCCCAAAACTTCAGCGCAAGTAGCTCCAAGTGATATACGCAACTTCACATTAAGAGAAAAAGACTCATACACAAAGAGCACGTCCATGCCACTCTTTAACACAATAAAATTGCAGGGACATCAATCTGCTCTATTGAATGGACCCAAGCGCTGGCATCCAGCACAGCAAAAAGCGAAGAAGGCTCTCAAAAATGATAATTATATACAAGCTATAACGCATTTAACGCACGTGTTAGAAATATATCCCAACAGTTATTCGGCGAAATGTGATAGAGCAGAAGCTTACATGAATATCAACGAATTAGATAAAGCAAAGGAAGATCTCACTGCTGCTATAGCACATAGCCCAAAGAAATCACTGGCGTGGAGTAAACGAGGAGAATTATTCTATCGACGGGCAAGATATGATGAGGCATTAGTTGATTTAGCAAAAGCACTAAAATTAGAATCAAAAAACGTCTATGCTCTATGTACTAGAGCAAATGTGTATCATAAATTAGGGAATCAAAAGAAAGCATTGACAGATCTCAACTCGGTATTACAATGCGAACCGAACAATGTAGTAGCCTTACGTTTAAGAGGAGAATCACATCGTCTCCTCAAAAAGTACAATGAAGCACTCCAAGATCTAACTAGGGCATTAGAAATAGAACCAGACAACGCTCAAGCATTAACCAGCAGGGGTGATGTCTATTGCAATATGGACAAGTATGTCGAAGCAGTGTCAGATTTTGATAGAGCACTCGAAGTTAAGCCGGATTGCGCACAAGCGTTGATGAAGAGAGGAGATGCATATAGAAGGTTACAACGATATGAAGATGCACTGCGCGACTTGAATAGATCACTAATACTTGAACCGAATAACGCATTTACATTAAAGAACAGGGGAGATGTTTTCAGAATTTATAACAGATACGAGGAAGCATTGGCTGATCTCAATGCTGCAGCTGAGATCGATTCCGATGATCCATTCGTCCTCAGTGCTCGTGGAGACATATATCGTACATTGGGGAAGTATAAAGAAGCATTAACCGATTTAAACAAGTCAATAGATGCAGGGAGTAACGATGCTGCAACCTTAATTAGTCGTGCGATTGTATTTCAAAAGACAAACAGATATGAAGAGGCCTTGTCTGATTTAAATAGTGCTCTGGAAATGCAGCCAAATGATCCGCATACCTTGTCCATTCGAGCCGATGTATATTTTAATTTGGGTCAGTATTATGAAGGCTTGGTCGACGCTGATGAAGCGTTAGAAAGTAAGCCAGATGACGTTTGGATATTGACAATTAGAGGAAGAATCTATCTTGCTCTCAATCGCAAAGAGGAGGCATTGCTGGATATCAACAAAGCTCTTCGACTTGAACCGGACAATTCATTGACACTGTGTTTCAGAGGAGAAATATATCATGCATTATATCGATTTGATGATGCAATAAACGATCTCAACAGATCGTTGAAACTTCATTCCGATCAATGGATATCGTTAATAGGACGTGGGGCTGTCTATCGGTCAATGAAGTCGTTCAGTCAAGCGCTTGATGATCTAAATCTAGCGCTTTCGTATACTCCAACCACTAGAGCTGAAGAGCGATACATAACAAAGGCGCTTCGAAATAGAGGGGCTGTATATAGGGAACTTGGTCTATTAAATGAGGCATTGAACGATTTGGATACGGCAATTGAACGCGAACCCGAGAATCTATTTGCATTGTGTGAGAGGGGAGTTTTGTATAGATTGGCGGAAAAATATGATGATGCTTTGTGTGATCTAGATCATGTGCTACAACTTGATCCATATAATCCATTTGCGTTGAATGAGAGGGAAGAAGTTATTAAAACAAAACTAACCAAAACTCTCCGGAGACCTTCACTATCACCGAGGTAATCTGCCGTTACGTTATTTAGATTTGAGTAATGGTTATTTGATCTTTGGAGTAAAATTTCCAAAAACCAAAAAATTTACTATTTGTAGTTAGTCAGTTGATTAGTCATTTTTAATTGTAGAATATGACGTATTTATTATCAGTATGAAGTGGACTTGAAGATGTATATACACGGATGAGTAAATTGTATACAATACATGTTCATTGGTTCGTTCCGTTTATTGTCGTTAGTCAAAGTAAGGAGAGTAATGCCACAGATAGGACTGTCACCGTATTTAGCTATTTGTCATCTGGGTAAAAATAACAAACATGCACAAGTCATTATATTGATATCGCAAAACATGCGATTTCAACATGTAGTGCAAGCTACCTGCATGCTCTTACCTTTGTCGGAAAAACCGTTATTGGTCACAAGAAGGACAATGACGACTAAACCATGTGACATTAATTGCATATTAATATTAATATTAATATTAATGTGATTTTATAATCGCGTGTGTATTGTCTTGACTGTCACATTTAATTGTTTATACACCCAGTCTTTCAAACAAATTATGATCGCAATAAACTAGTTTTGTGATTAGTTTGAATGCGTGATGGTTTATATCATTAATATTTAATTAAATACAAATAGAGTGAACCCTCTCTAAATGCAATGCTTCGGGCCATAGGATTTGCTTTACGACGAGTGAATACTTACTAGTCGAGAGCTCATTTAGAGAGGAAAATACTGTGTTTGCAGTTAGAGGGTTGCATTTGGAAGTTTCAGTATTAGTATAGCTTATTTGATTACAAGCTTTTATGTCAAAACGCCTCGCAAACGAAAATTTCTACTACACCAGCACCATTGAACATGGAAGAAAAAGTGAAAGACTTATAATCCTGCCTGAGCTGGTCATCAAGCAATATTAATTGTATGGATTCAAAAAAAAAGTCTATCAAATAGTAGGTTTTTTCACATTTACTAGTTTATCAGTTTATGCACAATCAGAATAAATCTCTATCAGCAAATGAATCAAATTCACAGTCTCAGACGGTGAAACCATAACATGTTATTCATCCGCATCTCTTCGCCGCGCCTTTTTATCCATTCATGTATCTATATACAATGTACAGCAAGATTAATACAGCTTCAAGTGCCCCGTTACTTGATCGATCAGTGCACTCGGCCCTATGAAACGATCGATACAGTATTAGCATATTCAGAATGATGAGTTAAAATTATTATCAGTAGTTGAAGGAAATCCTTTTCGGTAAACGTCTTAAATTTAAATTTTTCTTTGTACATTTGGCAGTACTTCACAAACCTCCCCCCCCTTCCCCACTGTTGCGTAGTTAAACCCTCAAAACTCGTTCTTTAAGTTTTCCTTTCACATGAGAAAATCTTTCCAACTACCACCAACTCACCTGGCCCAATTCCTAACACTGTCATGGATCCAGAAGAAACCTGTGTGCGACCAGCATCTTGGATTATTTCCGCACATAGATTCAAGCGGCATGCTGTTTTTTCTAATTCGAGACTAAGCAGTGAGAAAAAATTGGCAGACTATAAATATACAAGATATATCCTTATATAATAGTAGTCATGTTGGGAAAAAGGAGATAATGCTTCCGTACAGTTCATCCTGACTATTTGCTCTCAATGTAATCTTTGGTTGGCCCGAATACTCCCAAGCACGTAGAAGCTTCGATGATATAGAAGCAATAATGTATCAAGGCGTTGTTTTCTATAGCGAAGATAAAGCACAACGTTTCTCATAAATACCTTTGGATTTGTTGCGGATAGCCGCTTGTAGCATGCCAATGTCGCATGAGAGCACTAATAGCAAGACATACGTGTACAACAGCAAACGATGAAATAATGAATGATAATGTCAAGGGCAGTATGCACGTATATTTCCATATTGTACGCACCTGGGCAGCAGCTTTCCCTTTCGTCATCCCGAGATCATTTCTCACAATTAGAACCTGAACAGGTAACGATTAATGTATGCGGACAACGTCACTTGTTAATCCCTTCCCAATTCTTCTCGACCCGTGCTCTCCCCTCTGATTTTAACCAACCAGTTTAAAGTCGTCATATTTGTCGGCATTCAACATCCTTGATACCGGTGTATCTTCGAAGACTTTTTCACCCACATTTGATTCATCTTTTTTGCTAACCTGAAGTTGTATAGTCTTAACAAGTGCGATGCTAGAATTCAACGTAATCATATGACACTTACTTTTTTCGAAGACTCGATGTAGCGTCCTAATTTATAGCCTACATAGAGCGTCACGATCACAAGTGTTGTGATTGGAATCATTCGCATTAGTAAGTTTTATGATTTCTTTAAAGTTGTGTTACCGTGTGAGCTAAAGTGTTAAAGGTCACATGACATGGATGTGTTCTTAAAATTGGTGGACCACCTATGCTATGTTATCGCTATGGATAACATTTCTTTTCCGTTCTCTCTTCCTGATATTAATAGCTCGCTCACATCTGCTTCAGATTCTCGGACAAATAGTCTTCCTGGACTGCCTGGAGAACTGTCTGAGTTGTTGACCGAAAATTTGGGCGCCCAAGTTGGGGAAATAGCAACGGATATTGTATTACGAACAGAGAAACCAAACGATGACGAACGCATATTCCAAAGAAGCGAGTTCACCTTTTTACCACAAATTGCGCAAATACTCGAATTGATTGAATCTAGTAATGATAAGCAGGAGATAAACAAACTGGTTTGTGTTTTTTTAGGCAATTAGGCTTTACGTTGCATTTTATTATTTTCTACCCCCCAACAACATCCAACATTGTCCGATGAAATTGTAAACAAAGACGCTCAAGTTAAAAGAAAGCTTTCAGCGATGTCACCAAATATTAGAAGATCTTCCTGGCGCTGATTTATCGCGTGAGGCCCAAGATGAGCTCCTTGCTGAAGAAAAGGATATTCTTCAACAGAAAAAGTAACTTCTATTTCTTTGTCATTTGCATGTCGACCCACCGTCCTACTAAGATTATTTCTAATAATATCGTATTATTGATTCGGTCCTTGTAAAGCAGAAATGAGCGACAGAGATATTTGCAATTACCAATAATGTTAAAGAGCGATTCTAACTTCTCGTGACATTCATGGAGTTAAATTATTCGATTTCTAATCAAAAATTAAAATACATGAACACAAAACTGCCATAATTAGTTCAGTATGTGAAACTAGACGCTCATTGGTTTAACTCGGTGGCTTGGTGATAATTTTTCCTACTAAGTGACCCTCTCTACTTGTCATCTGTTTATCTTTGACATACGCCACTTCCAATTGTATCACAGACCGCACTTTGTCTCATGGACAAGAGATCTTCTGCTTTAACGGCCATAAAAGTTTCAACATCTAAACGACGGATATACAAACTAAAGTGTCCGACTCGGCAATTACCAGCAATAAACGACCTAAGTATAGCAAAGAAGGAAATTCATAGTTATGTTGCAAGAGCGAGCGAACGGGAATCTGGCTATACTTTGCTTTCACAACAGTTAGATCCGCAGTTCGCTGGAGTAGGAAGGACGGGAAAGCACACAAAGGGTTTAAACAAAGCTAAAGATAAGAAGCTTTTAGGGTGAATGCTCTCGAATATGGTGTACTTCAAATGAGATACATAATATTCAAACATACGTTTGATAGTATGCGTCGCAAAATTCGTCAAGATTGGCCATTTACAGTTTATTTACTTGTAGGAATACTTCTCCGTTTCGAAAGAAAAAGCAGAGAGAAAAGAGAGAAGAAGAAGAAGATAGTGATTACTCTGAAAACGAGAAAAAACTACAAAGATCTTCTGCATCAAGACAAGGAACACCAAAACCCTTCCAGAGTATTTCCGTGAGTGCATAGGACTTTAAATCTGTTATTGAGGATACCCACATTATATTAATCTATTATATTTACGTAATAAAAGGCAGCGAAGAATAACCCAACTTTTAAAAAACGTAAACGAAGTACGGATGTTACTAACGATGATTCACCCAAGCTTCGGCAGAAGGAACAGACACCAATAGAACAATTTTACAAATATTGCGAGAGTTATTGGCGGCCGTTTAAAGAAGAAGATAGAGCTTTCTTAGAGGCTAAGGTCTGTAATAGTATCTTCTATAGGATACTCTTGACAATAGATTAACTGTGTGTTGTTATTGATAATAGTCGGACTCCACTGAGCTGTATATAATACCACCGCTTGGTAGACATTACCGAGAAGTATGGACTGCATTATTGCCGCAGATTCCAAATGATAATAGTGATACTCGAAATGAAATAAGGAATCGCGATGAACAGAATACTAGTGAACAATTATCCTCGCAAGGGCTAAACTGTAGGCAATTAGTACAGCGATTAATGTCAACAATGGTATCAGACAAAGTGAATGTTGACCTCGAACATGTTATTTCATCAACCGAGAAAGAAACGAATGGACATTTATCGCCAGAAGAAAATGGCGACAATTTTGAGTGTTCAATTTCGGACAGTAGGCTTGAAGAAGAATTACGATATCTGGGCGTATTGAATAAAGATGAGAAGGTGAGAATTTTTATCTACCAGTTTGTTTCAATTATTTGGACTTCAATCTGACACAGTGCAAGAATGCAAACTCCACAAATGACGCGTCTTTATTTCAGATTGATTGGGAAGCCCGAGAGGATGATGCAATCTGTGCGGAACTGCGAAAAACACAAGAAGATTGCTTGAAAGAAGACGCTCAGAACACATATCGAAGGCAAAAACTTATTAAAAGGTTTATAGCAGCAATGGCCTATCAACAATGTAGTGATTTCATGGAAGAACTCGATAATCAAGTTGAAGAATGTTTTGTTGCTCGATTTGTATGTGGTGGTTCTATCTAATCGAAATGCGTTGATTTGTGTGTTACTTTAATATAACTAATATATGTGCGACTGGGCATGCTTTTTTTTATTTTAGGTCAAAGACAAAAAAATAAAAAAGAAAAGATTAGTTGTTACAACTGAAGACATAGCCCATAGTCTTGATCGACGGAAGAAATATAAAAAAGGTATTGAAGTATTATTTGATCCGAGCGTAGGATCAATACCCAAGGAACCTGTGTTTAATGATGAGGATATGGCGGAATTTGTCAAGAAGATGAAAGAGGAGCATCGAAGACTGTAAACAATATCAAGGTTTCTCTATTTTGTTCCGAATTGCTTTCTTTTTAATTATTCGATATTATCTATAGAATAATTGTCATGCTACTTCCAAAATATAATCATTTCTTTACTGTCATATTTCTATCTAATTAGTTTGAATGTCTTTGGTTTTCAAATTCTATAAGATAATTATTCAGTTGTATATGCTCATTTTATTTGCGATCAAGGACGATTATTGTTAGTAGGCAAATCAGACATTATTGAAAAGCCCTAATGCTCAAATAAGGCAAATGATAAGTTCTATCTGCTGGGTTGTAGAACTTACAGACATACATTGAAAGTCAAAAATGGCAAATTAGTATAACTGCTATAACTGTATAGTATGAGAACAAAACTGCGTCATAGCATTTTGAATAAAGGTATGATGTAGATGATCCAAAGTTGGATTGTTCTAGCACACTTTAACTAAAATTTCTAATTTTTCAACTCCAGAATAATAGCATGTCATACTTTTGGAAATCGCATTTGGCACATGTTACAGAATATTGAATAGAATATATAGAGTGTACTGCAACAAAACCAGACAAAGCGAGCATGTGGGATACAATCATAAAGTTAAAACATTGAAAATTTCTTTCCTCACCTAATATTCACTTTTTTCGAGTGGAGCTGCAATGGACCAATTCTAGTTCTGTGACTGCGAAAGATATTGAGCAAGCTGTACCTTGTGTGTTCTGTTGAAAACACTGGAGCAGCTGCCTTCGATCTGATGACAAAATGGATGCGCTGGACAGGGCGATGTTGGCAGCGGCATAGCATCTCGCCCACATGTAATGTAATTCTTCTTCCTTGCTGGGCATCACGGGTGAACACACTCGACAGCACTGTCTAAATGGATGATTTTTTCTTTTCCTAAAATGATCTAGCAGGCGCAAAGCAGAATGACTTTTGAGAGGCAAAATGGACACGCCTTGGAAGTATTATGCTCGTTTATGATGGCAACAGACCCGTGGATTTGATGCTGGGCCCAGATCTTCTTCAAGCCTCGCTGTAAGTGTTCCTTGATCAGACCATTAATACTCTGATAATGGCCAATGCAATAGAGTTGATTTTGGTACTTTCCCAGGAATCCCAGCATGGGTGCAAGAATATTTCCATTCCATAGACATGATCTTGCTGTATATTCTTTTGGTCCAAAGCTCTCTCTCTCATCATCACTGATCCTCGTTTGCATGCCGCCTTAAGAAAGTTGCCTGGTTGACAAGACCAGCAAAGATCTTGAAAAGCTTTGGAAGCATGTTGATGTCAAAGGCGTATGGTGTAGCATTTGCACTATTGTCAGATCCATCCTCAATTGAAGCAAGAACTTGGAAGCGATGAATGTCAGCAAAGATAAAATCAAGGGTTTTGGGAACTGTGACAGAGGTGATAACGATCCCTGGATCTGTTCCCGAACAACAACTAGTGTATGTGAAGATAGATGCTCAGTGATTGTTGGTAGTAGATTTAGCTTTATAATTGTCAAAGATTTCGCTAAAAGTAGCCCATATATAAACTAAAATTTTTTTACTAACACAATCGGCCATGGTGCAATAAGTAAATTTATTCACTACTTTGTATGAATATTGAGCGAAAAACAAAGGCTTACGTCAAAGATAAAGATTTCGGAATTTTACGTTAAAATTTCATTATAATGTAATTCAAAGAAACTAATTGCTCGAGTCATTAAGAAAAAGCAATCCTCATATTTCAAAATATGTAAATTTAAAATTTGACTCGATTTCATTGAATGATAGTCGATTGATATATAAAATTTGCTAAAGTTTAAGTTTTTGTAACTATATATTGTTATATACTCGCCAGAATCCAGTCATATTTCACAATTCGACGCGTCTCTTTGTTGCCAATAACTTTTATTAATACGTGTTTGTTACTAACAAACGAGTTAAAAAGTTTTTATATAAAGGACTTGATGAGACGCATGATTATCCAACCCGAAATTTTGTACTACCTCATATTTGCGTTTAATATTAATATGACTTCTAAAGAAGACGACTCACTTTTTCCCTTTCTACTGTCCCGTTTAAAGAGTCAATAAACATGTTTTCAACCAATACAACTTCTTCTAGTGCTGTTTCCTCTTCTTTATCTTACTCTGCTGCTCTTCAGCAACCCCCTCTCCCGTCTACTTCACTTATTAAAGTTATTCCCACGAGCGTTCCGTTAGTCAATCCCGACGGCTCGTTTACCATATTCTC